GATGAATCTCCGTAACTTTTTTCGTAGATGCATCACAGGAAGCATCCAGCGTAAAGAAAAAAATGGTGCGTCCGGATATGTATCTCCAAAAGAAGAGGCATAAAGAAATTTCGCTAGGTGCCTAAGAGTATTAAGGGGTGGATTAAAAAATTCTCGTCAATTTTATCCGCACTTTATAGAGTGGGTTAAGGGTTTAGGTTATCAATTATTTAATGTATCTGTTGCATCCTGTTCCATTTTATTAGCTGACTTTTGCGGGTACAGGCATTTATATAAATTTTTGTATTTTTAAGCTTAAAAATTATAATGTTCGTGGACTTTCTCTGCTCCACTCTTACTTTTTTGTAAAACAGGTTTAAATTTTAAACTGACATTCTCAATTATGACCACTTCGTTCCGTCCAATTTTTTTTTGCAGAGCTTTTGTGAGACAAGACTATATGGGAACAGTTGAATGTCCTCGTCCATTGATGATGAGTATATGAATTTTTTTTATAATCGTATGTCATAATAGGTTACAAAGCAAAATCACTTTAAGAAAGTTGCGCACTCAAAGACATTGTTAGCCGCTGTTGATTTTTTTACCACCTTTTGAGTCAAAATAAATGTATCTTTGGTTTCACATTTTAGAAAGACAAAAGTGATTATAAAAATATATAATTAACTTTTAAAAAAAATTAATTTTTGGCTAATTAATTCTAATTAAAAATTAAATTGATAATTCTAAATTTAGAGCATCTTTAGTGCAGGTTCTGTAGTATTAAATTCTTTAATAGTAATTGTAGTTATAAGCAATTTGTATTGGAATAAGAATGACATGACAGTAAGTGAACTAACAATTAGTGAGAGTAACCTATATAACTAACGCACACTATCCATTCTCAATAACTCTTATTATTATTTTATATTATTAAAATATCAATAAAGCTCCGACAACTATAAAATGTGGGGTCAAATTTTAGTTTTTTACAAGCAACTATCATTAAAGTAAAAACAACTCAAATCAACTATAAATATTTTAAATCCTACAAATCACTTTGGACCCACAAAAAATATCTTAGTTTACCCATTTTTAATTTACTTAAATATAATTTTTATCATAAAATTTACTCTTCAACTCATTTTTATATTTATCATTCTATGGCCATTCACAAAAGAATAAAAAAAATATGTTACAAAAGATATAATTTTAATACATCTAATAGTAGGCCAACAAATCATTAATCATCTTAAGATTATAATTATAATGTTTTCAAATTATTTACAATAACAATAGTAACAATGGATTGCTATCTTTTTCTGTATATTAATGACAATACAAAGAAATGGCTTTATAATCTAAACAAAACAATGTGGTTGAAATTCTCTTTTAGTGTTTTTTTCCTCAAAAGAATAGTTATTATAAATGAAGTAGCAAAATATAAATTTATTTTGATATTGTAGAAATAATATACCGAGATATATTTGTAAAAAAAAACTTATTTATTGTAAATGGGTAATGTATAATAAAAAATTATCAACTATAAGTTTGCAATATGATTATCCAAAATATAATTTATTTTTGACAAAGGATATCAATGATCCAAAATAAGAAAAAACAAATGCATTTAGTAAAATACACACCAAGCAAAATTGAGAAGATCTAGTAACAATTATGGTAAGCACAATTCCATGAACCCAATATAAGATAATGTAAAAGAATGTTTCTACCATTTTTCATGTTCTGTTATGGATAATTACAGCAAATAATTAATTTATATGACTTACTCATTATCTATGTCATTCAATTATGAAAAGATAATAGAAGTCACTCATTAGCTCCCTCATTGCAGCCTACTCATTAAAGACATGTATGAATTAAAGTTTTGGTTTGTTTGAAGAAACAGAAAATTGAAACACATTTAAAAGTCAAAAGGTTAGTTAGGTTATAGGAAAAAGACATTCTTTTTTAGTGTTTTTTTTTTCAAAAGAATTTTTTAGTTATTATAAATGAAAGAGACTATGACAATTATAGGCAATAAAAAATTATAAAGTGAAGTCATATTTTAAGGAGAGTTTTTCTACTTAACTTTTCATCTAACCCTTAAAAAAATCTCTTGACTTACTTTATGTTCATATTTACCATTTTATTATTTGTATAGCCTTTAATACTTTCTTCTCTTAAAAAGAAAATTTATTAATCTTCCTTTAAGATTTAGGTGGAGAGCTTCACTCGTTGAACAACTCGTACTCATGTTTATATAAAAATTTGTTCCTCATATTTGAATAATTATAACTCGTAAGGACTTTGACAAGACGAGGCATAATAAAAAATTCTCCGGCAAAGGTCGTCGTTGATGCATGTTTAAACTCTTTGCTCTTGGACTAGGGACTTCATCAACAATATATGTGTTGTTTCAAACCCTCTATGTCAATTTTATTTGTCAGTGTCTTTAATATATGGAATGGAATGAAGTTAGGAAGCGGAAATATTTTACTAAACGAGTCCATGAACGATTCTATGTGTGGAAAGCGAGAAGAAGAAAAGGCGTAAAAGACATTGACCGATAATGTCTTTTTTATTCACCGAGTTTGGGGATGTTATGGATGCAAAGGTCATGTTTGAGGTATTCAAAGATTATGGTTTAGTTGAAGAAGTGTATATCCCAGCTAGGAGGGATAAGAGGGAAGGAGATATAGGCTTGTATGATTCAGAAGGGTGGCCGACGTCAGAATCATGGCGGTGAAGTTGGATGATATTCAGGTTCAGGGAAGGAAACTCTTTGCGAACATTCCAAGGTTTCAAAGTGGAGACAATGGGGCTAGAATGCAATCCAACCTGGGGGAGACAGATGAAAATATATGAGATATTACGCATGGTGTGCAAGCTAGGAATCTTAGAAACCAAGGAAAATCATAAGCGCATGTTGTTGGTAGGAATTCAACTGATAAGGGAGTGAAGTCATTTGAGAAAAGGAACATGGAGTGGCACCAAAAGTCGAAGCTTGAAACACTATCAGAGAAACCCAAATTTTCTTATTTACAATTCAACATTGAGAAGAATGAAATGACAAGGTTTGAGAAAGCATTTGTGGGGGAGGTGTTGGAACTAGGGTCTACTTACAGTACTCAGGAAGCTCTCAGCGTGGAAGGCTTATTTGGAATAAAGGCCTTTCCAATGGGGGAAAATATTTGCTTGCTTGAGGAGAATGAAGGGGGAGCAGTCAAACTCATGATCCAGGAAGCTAGGGTATGGGTTGAGAAATGGTTTTTGGAAGTTTGTCCTTGGTTAATGAATGATATCGACCATGAGCGCTTAACATAGATGAAATTCTTTAGATTACCATCCCACGCGTGGAATAATCAGTTCTTCAAATTTATTTCTGGTTTAGTTGGGTCTTTTATCTGTTGTAATGAAGAGGCAGAGGAGTAGAAACACTTTGATGTGCCGAGAATTTTGATATAACCAAGTTTGCAATTAATCTGAATGAAGTATTTAATGTTGAGATCAATGGAAGGATTTACAGAATCAAACTAGTTGAAGATCATAAAGGTCCAAAAACAATTGTGGTTCCTAAGGATGAAAAAGATGTGGAGAGTAAAAATGAATCAAACTCCTTGGGTGATGGTGGCGCGTGGGAATCTTCTTTGGAAGATGAGGAGGAAGGTGTGTTTAGGGAGTCTACTTGTATTGGTGGTGACATAGGGAAACAAAATTGTGGTTTTCTAGATGGAAGGGTCAACAGTGTTTCAGCGAACTTAGCAAAAGATGGACAACACATGAGGGCTTGTGAAAGTAGGGTGTAGATCTGATGGATGTTGTACCAGAAAGTACCGAAAAAGGTCACTTTTGTCGAGGAGTCAGATGAGAAAATTGAGGATAAAGAAGAAAAATTAAATGAGGGTGATGGATTATTAAATGCGAGTCACATCGGTAACTTGTTGAATGGACAACTCCATGTGGTCCCCTTTGTGGAAGAAAACGACGCGGAGAATGCCCATTTGGATAAGTGCAAGAATCCTAATTTGGTTTTGAGCCTGGAAGAATCTGAATCTGATCCAATTTCCCTCACTCTGGGTGGGCCTGTTAATAGATTAAAGGCCAGAAAGAAAAAACATTGAATGAAATCTATGACAATATTCAGATTCTTTTCTCTCCATCTTACTTCTCCACCCTTCTTCACTGCTCTGTAGTTAAACCCATGATGGTGTTGGCTTCGTCCCTTAGGCCTAATACAATTCTGGGAAATTCGATGGCGGAAGACTCCACTTCAAGATACTCAGGAGGTTCTATCTTGTGTTGTGATTCAATAACTGACACTAATGTGAATCAAGGGAACTTCAAGTGTAGAAGAATTTTGGAGGATGTTCCTTCGAATGTTTGGAAAACTATAAAATAATTTTGGATTAAAGGTGAGGAAGATGATGAATTATTTGAAGGGATAATTAGGAACGTGGAGTCCAGAGATAAGAAAACATTTGAATAAAAGAGGGATGATGAAATTAGGGTTCCATGAACCTAATTTCCTTCAATATTTGTGGGTGTGGTGGCTCTCTCAAATGGAAGATAACTAATCATATTCTTTCTAAAGCGAAAGCTTATATATCTTTCATTCAGAAGACTAAGGTGTAGGCTATGGGGTAGGACTTAGTTCGTAGTTTGTGGGGGTTATGGGAGTTTGACTTGTCAACTGTGAACTATGTTGGCCAATCAGGTGGTATACTAACAATCTGGAATACATGTGCCTTCTCTTCAATCTCAAGTTTTAAGGGGATAGGGTTCTTGGGTATTAATGTAATATGGAGGGGAGTAAACGTTTATTTCGTGAATGTATATTCTCCTCGTGGCTTGGCAAACAAAAGGAAGGTATGGTCTGATCTTATTTCATGTAAGGATGGATTCCCAATTGGTGGTTGGGTGGTTGGAGAAGATTTTAACGCAATCAAATCCAGTAAGGAGAGGAAGAGTAGTGGAGTTCAAGCCATGTGGAGATGGAAGAGTTTGCTACATTTATAGAAGTTATGGATCTTGTGGACCTTCCTGTTGTGGGTAATCGTTTCACTTGGTTTAACTCTAGTGGTAGATGCAAGAGTAGGCTGGATATATTTCTTGTTTCTGAGGATCGAATCAATAGATGGAAGTTGAAGGCACAATGTGTATGTGATCGAGATATTTCTGACCATAGGCCTGTGTGGTTGAAGTCAAACAATTTAAATTGGGGGCCAAAACTGTTTAAAGTGTTTAACAGTTGGATGGAGCACCCAGAGTTCCTAAAATTTGTTAGATATTGTTTGAATTCATTTACTTTTTCTGGTACATCTACCTTCATTATAAAGGAGAAATTCAAGGCGCTTTGGGATAAGTTGAGGTGGTGGAATTTGAACATATTTGGTTTGATTGATTTGCGCATTCAGGAAGGGGTTGTTTGTCTGAATGAAATCGAAAGGGATATGTTACAGGACAGAGTGAAGCAGTCTATTGTGAATATTAAGAAAAGAAGCGAAGCCTGGGAACTAATTTGAAATTATTTGCTAATAAAAGAAAGCATTATCAAGCAAAAATCAAGGGCGAAATAAGAGACCTAATTCTAAGTCCAAGGGTCCAAGAATAGTCCAAGAGCATAGCCACAAAGTTAAGAGCATCAAGTTTTTAGAGGTTTAGTCCTTTATTAATGCTTTGAACAAGATATGGTCCAAATGGACAAAAGAAAAGAGGTAGAAGCATAAACATGTGTCCAACGGACAAAGGAAAAATAACGGAAGCATAAACGAAAATATGATATGAGATGATAAGCATAAAGATAAAAGAGAGATGGGGAGCAAGAAGGAAACATAAACAAAGTTAGTACAATGATATGGTTAGTGAGTTAGTGATTAGTCGTTAGAGCAAATGATCAACGATAATTAACTCTTGAACTTAGACCAAGTTTAATGAAGGATCATTAGAGGATTGATAAAATCAAAGCCTCCTAACAACAAGCTTCATAGGTGATGGACTTAAGACAAGTAGTCAATCATGCTTGGACTTTCAAACATAGGTTTAAGTCAGAATGATCACTTTCCGATTACGGCATAATGTAGTGCTATTTTAAGCAGTCGTAATCGAGTTTATGTAAAAACCACGACTATCTGAGGCCGATCAATACAATGTTAGTGCTAGTGCATGCTAGAGAAGTGATATGTAGATCACTCTCCGAAAGCAATACCACACAAAAAGAAAATGGGTAATGATCTCATCTTCATCAAGAATTTGAAATAAGTTCAAACGATATCAAAGATTTTCATCGATCAAAAGAAAAAGAGAAGAGGAGAGGGAATGCCAAATTGAATTACAAGTTCAAGATCATTCCATCTTTAAGTTCATCCACTCATCTTGGTGGATTAAAGCACTAAACATATCATTAACTCAAAGTCACTTTAAAGATAGATTTGAATTGATGAATTTTTATGCAACTTCATCTACACCCTAAGTCCAATGAATTTAAAGAGGAAAATGACCTTTAAATGTGTATTTCATGGCCAAAACCAAAAGAAAATGGAAGAAGAAGAGGTGGGAACCAAAACAGTCCCAAAACAAAGCCAAAAACACATTCTGCACTATGTCAATCGATTGCACAAAGAGTGCAATCGATTGCACAGCAGAAAATCAGCAATTCTGGGCAAAAAAACATTGTGCAATCGATTACACAAATGGTGCAATCGATTGCACACTGACACACAGCAATAGAATCAGCATTTACAAGGCAAAACCATGATCAATCATTTCTTCAAACATCTCTTGATCAAGGATGCAATTGAGCATGAAAATTTAAGTAAAATAACAGCAAATAGCACCAATGGAATACAATTTGCAAGATCCAAAGATCAAGCAACAAGGATCAATAATGGATCACATTGTGGAAGATGGATCAAGCACAACAATGGTGAAATATGGGTTTACCACTTCAAATTTAAAAATTCTTCAAATCAACTCCACAAACACCACTTCAAAGCTTTGATCTACTATAATTGAGGATGAAAAAGTGAACGAATGAAGGTTTAGCTCAAAGATTAGTAAATTCTAGTGATGAACTTACTAATCCTTCAAAAGGAGAAAGAGCTTTGGTGAATTTGGTAATTGGAGAAAATTGAAAGTCAAGAAAGAGTTTGACAAGGTAATTTTGGCGATCAAAAGCTTGTGAAATGAATGAAATGAGGCCTCTATTTATAGGATTTAGGCTTGGAAAATTTGGTGGATTGGAGTTTGGTTTGGAATCAAAATTAGGCTTGGAATTTGAATTTGGAGAAAAATTCAAGATCAAGTGGTGATTAGTGAAGGTGTATGGTGGGAATTAATTGTGATAAGGTAGTGGAATTATTTTTGAGTGATCTAGAATATTCTCAAATGATGAAATTGGTGCCAAATACTTCAAATTTTGAAAAATGATGATTTTGGCCAATTATGTCCTTGTGCAATTGATTCCACTGTAGCATGAATAGATTGCAATGCTGAAAACTTTAAAATCTAGACAAAAATGCAGGGTGCAATCGATTGGACTAATAGTGAAATCGATTGCAGAGTTGAAAAACTTGAAAAATGCCTTGTTGGCTGGATTGTGCTGGCTCTGGCTCGATACTTTTGCTTGTCAAAGAAGGCATGGAAATAAACACATGAACCTTGGAGTGTCTTGAATAAAAGTCAATCAAATCTTGGGAGACTCTTGATCAGATGATTTTGAATTGTTTGCGGATCAACTTCGACTTTTTTCCAGATGAAATTCACTCGAGCTGAGGGACTGATATTTGATATCTTTGATCCAAATTTTTCCTGAAAAAGTTAGTAAAGGAAAAACAAACATTTTTTTTTGGATTTTAATCAATTCTTAGTAAACATAGACATAAAGGCATATAAGAAACACACAAATGTTTGGTGATCCTTGCAAGGCATAAACCCAAAGACGGAAGGGATAGAGGAACCAAAGCATGATCTTGTTTGTGGTATGAAATGCGAAGATGCAAAAAAAATGAGATGTGGGAAATCTTAGGGGTAAAAATTAGGGTATTACACATGCCAACTTGAAGTTCTTTGGCTACTTCGTCATGATTAAACTTCAGGAGTTCGTCTTTACACTCCTTGACTTTTGAAATTTTGGCTTGCAATTATTTTATCTGCTTCTCCCAAGCTTTGACATTTTGATTGCAGGCTTTGCTTTCCTTTTTATTCTGTTCAAAGCTTTTTTCTAATTCTAAAACTTTTACAGTAGATTCAGTAGCTGCGTCCCATTCAGCTATTTGGGTCTCTAAATTTTTCTGAATTTCATTTGAAGCATCTTTGATGTAGTTGAGATCTGCAACAACATGGTCAACCAGAAAGGTCAGTTCCATAACAACGTCTGCAACTTCTGGAGAAACCTCCAAAAAATTAACTTATTTTAGGAGATTTTTTATCCCAAAGCAAGCCGAACTGTCTTTCTTCAAAAGTTGAAAAAGGTCAGCGTCGAAGACCTTCTCTTTTATCTTGAGGAGCAAGTCACCCCAGGTTTGTTGGCAGATTGACCACCTGATGTAGTCAAAGTACTGGTGCTTTTCTCAGACCAACTGTATCTGGTGCTAATCATAGCCTTTAGGTATTCTAATTATCTTTGTACCTTTCGGGACTCTAGTTCCTCATGCGAAAGGCTAGTAGTGGTTGTTCTAGTCGAAGCTGCAGGATTTGGGTCAGCCTTGGGTTGGTCATCTTGTTGTCCTTTGTCTTCCTCGTTGTCATCTTTATCATATTTTTCTTCCACCTCTTCTTCGCCATCCGCGTCACCAGTGCCTTGTACGTTAATTGAAGAGCCATCTTCAAATTTTTCTTTGACAATTCCCTATGTAGTTAGCATCTCTGTGTCGCCTTCAACATCAACCAAGGAATCTTTCATTTGTGGGCTCTTGTCATTATCAGAGTCACAAGTTTGAGAATGCTCAGTTGTGACTTTTGGAGGCGAATCCTTTTGATGTTCGCCATCCAGCTGACTCGCTTCATCTTTAGATTCTTTGATGGAATCCTTAGGAGAAGTTTGTTAATGGAAGGGAGCACTAGTAGGATGGTAAGAAGGATCATTGCTAGTTGTAGGAATAATTTGTTGAACGAGGGGTTGTCCTTTGTCATTTTTAACACCCTGAAAATATCAAAAGAAAAGGATCAGAAGTAAGTAAGTCGAAGATGACTAAGAAGGAAATTATCAACTCTAGACTAAAGAAAAATTGTTTACCTTATAACCATCAGCCCCAGGGCTAGAATTGTCACTCTCGACTCAGTCAGGGTTCGTCTTGGCGGCCTGGTCTTTGGTGGCTGGATTAGCATCAGCTTCGACCATCTTTGGAGTGGAAGGTTTCTTCACAGGAGGTTTAACAACTTTTGGTTTGGGTTGGGAATTGGCATCAGAAATTTTTTCATGTTTCGTCTTCTTCTTTGAGAACTTAGAGTTGTCTGCAGAGAGATCTGCATCATCTAACTCAATTACTTGGACGTCAAGTTCTTTTTGTTTCCCATTCTTAGGTGTCGGTGGTGGTCTTCGACTACCCTGAAAGGAAATGTTCTTTAAATATTAGAATATGAAGACAATACATGGAAAAGAATAATGATTACAAAGTTTACCTTTGTTGTTGTTTTATTGGTGTTGTCTTCGCCTTCTCCTTCGACAACATCCTTCTCAGTAGCGGCAGGTTTCTTAGTAGGAGTCCTTATAGCTGCAATAAAATCAATGTAATTAACACAAGTAAAAATAAAGAAATAAATTTATGAAAGAAGTGATGTCGAAAAACCTTTCATTCCACACCTTCATATATTTGGGACTCCATTCGAACGTGTTATATGCTAATATGAAGGTGGCCTTTGAAATTGTCCAGAGTATACTTAGTCAGAACCACTCGCTTAGCACGTTTTTGTGATTATTGTTGAAGGATTTTTACAAAATCCCCACAGACGAACCAATATGGAAATGGAAGACTAAAAGCCACCCCAAATTTAGCACTGGGCAGTCGAGGGAATTTTCGAGGTTATAAATTAAAATCTAACTTGTACCGTTGGTTAGGTTTAACGTATAAAGGTAGCTTTAAATCCTCTAGTTTCTTTGTAAGTTTTTCTTGCAATGTGATTGTTGCTTCGCTAATGGTTCGACTAAGATCATTAGGTCTGTAAGCAGTTTCAAAGTACTTCTGGAATGCTTGGATCTCTTTGATATGTGTCGAAATACCTTTCTTCACTTTTTCTTACACATGGGCAAAGGCATGAGTTAGATGCTGGTTGAAAGCAGCTACATCAAAAACTTCTGTATTGTAGTAATCTTTTCACCAAGTGTCAAACTCTTTGGTGCAAAGGAAAGATGGTTTGAAGGCTATAGGGGTGAGTTGTGTAAGGCCAGTATATTTATCCATTGATCTGTTACACTCTGCTTCAATATGGATCATGTTGTAATGAATCAAAGAGCATTTCTTGGTGAAAAGTGGTTTTGGAATGATTTGGATATGACCAAACTATCGAGCGACAAGGTTTGGTTGGT